TTACGTTTTCAATCTTCAAACACGTCTTTTTGGTATTTTGTGCAAAAAATTTATGGTGACGCTGACTACAATTGCGGTATATGAACCTGCGACATTAATTTGTATTTTTTTTTCGATTCAAATAAATTTAGGGAATTTCAACCCTTTATTACATATATAAGATTAGTTCGTACAATGAGAATTCCAAACACAACTATTCTAAAAAAAACGGAATAATCATCATACAAATGCAGCTATAATTAGGCCATGATTTAAAATATGCCGAAAACTTTGAGATACAATTTTATATTTCATTCATGCACGAAAAACTGAAAGAAATGGCTTTATATGATAAGGAAATAAGAAGATTCAGCCTAACCTGACACCTAAGTTGTTGACATACCCACGACGCCAGGTAATGGGTTGGGATCCTCCCTGGGGCTGTGGGTATGTCAACGCGCGCCATTAATTTGTATTGTTATTATTCCCAGATAACAATTTGAGATTTCGCTGTGAATTCGCTAGCGAATTCGCAGCGAAATGTCCGCCGATTCGCTGGCGAATTCGAAGCGAACTCGTAGCGACTCCACGATTTCGCAGCGAAGTCGCAGCGACTCCACGATTTCTCCACGAATTCGCTAGCGAATCGGCGGACATTTCGCTGCGAATTCGCTAGCGAATCCACAGCGAAATCTCAAATTGTTATCTGGGTTATTACAATTTTAACTTTGGCGTTTCAAACTGACACATTTGTATTAAAATCTTTTAAGCAACCACAAAATTTAACACACTTCGTGTCATTAACATTGTAAATAAATAAATAAAACTAATCCTAAGTACTTAAATAAGACCCAGGGGAGATACATAAATAAAATATTTTTTTGCAAATTCACGCCCCCTCCAATCCAAATCGAAATTAGTTACGAAAAAAACAGTCTCCACTTTGTTTCTCCAACTCTCAAAATTCAATCGAGTCGGATGATTTGGTAATATTCAAATTTTCTTTTTCCAATCCAATCTATTTATTGTTCAATGAGAGACTAATCGGGTCTTGCAATCTGTCTCAATTTTCCCTCTCGCCAGCCACAACCACCCCCTGCAACAAGATTTGTGTAAAAAAATCGACTACTCTGATTGATTCCCAATCAATCTGCCTCACACCGGGGAAGAATCTCATCACTCACTTCTGCACATTACGACCAGACCACAAGTAAACAAAACGAGACGTCAATCTGTGTATGTACGTACCTCTTGAAGAAAAGTGCAAGTTAATTGTGCTCTCTTTTTTTCTTTACCTGCGAGAGAATATTTAAGGCCACCCTCGGACCCAGGAAATTGGTCTCGATCTTGGTCTTGGTCTTGCTCTCTCTCGTAGACGGGATCATAATTACTGAAATTAAAAATAAAAATAAAAATAAAATCTCATCATTTCGGAAATTGGTTCAATCAAAACTGCGGTCAAGAAGAGGGTGAAATTGGTGGAGATCAGGGATCATGGAATTGGTTCACTGGTTAAAATAATAATAATTGTGTACTAATAAATAGAGGGATGGAATGGATCGAAATTACATTTGTGGTGGGTTTGAGCATGATTTTGTAAAATGGTTAAGTGTGTCTGGTGTCTGCGGATTAGTCGAGTCGGTAAATATTTGTGGGATGGATGAAAGATGAGGAGTGAAGAAAAATGAGTGATTTTTTAGGGCTGGAATTTTGGAAAAATTAGGCGAAAAATTGGGCCACCATTTTAATTGCATAATTTATATGAAAAAGTTACGTTTTGTGACGCCGGTTTTACAATTTTCTGGAATTTAATATATTTAAGTACAAATAAAGATCGAGAGGTTATGAAAGTCAAGTGACGATTGTTTTCTGATTCAAGATGCATGCGAATTCATACGGATTCTTTAATATATTTTCCCCTCGAATTATTTTATATAGCATAAAATTTCAAACTCTAAAAATCACAATTGATTTCGGAAAAGCAATCTAAACAATTAAATAAATAATCTACTAGTTAGAGCACCAATAAGAAGTTGTGCGTTGTGTAGATGGTGACCACGCACCTCCAAAGAAGAATTTCTCCTAATTACTTTCCAAATAAATTAAGCCGGCCCCACCAAACCAAGCAAGTCGCGCGGGAGGTGGTGGTCGCAAGTGCCGTCTTGTTCCACCATATTTCTAGATGGGCAGACCCCCTCCGAAGGGAACCTCTCTCTCTCTCTCTCTCTCTCTCTCGATGCCCTTTAAACGGACACTGATTAATGAATTTCTACCAGAAATCGAGACTACTCAGCTTCCCTTCGAAAAATGCCTGCTTAAATTTCATCTTGCCAAAATTCGCTCAAAATTGGTCCCTCACATTTTTTGGTCTTCTTGTTAATTGCTGTCTTAAGCTTAATTAGGACTAACTACATAACTAATATCTTCGCCAGGTGGACCAAAAAAAATCAGGAAAAATGAGACGACGCTGGTGTGATGCTCGATACTCATTTTTTTTTATATCGACACGTAGAATTCCTTTCCTACTCATGATGTTCATATTATGTATTTGTGTCAATGGTTTGGTTTTTGACGATTCCCGTCGCTCGGGACGGAAGATGAATGAAGTTTTAGTTGGTGGACAGCTGAATAAAAAGCGTGAAGTGGTTGATTAGCTTTTTTGTCGGGTCTGCCTGCCTGCAAGTGTGGGGTGGACCCCTGTGGACCAATTTGCATTTTTAATTACCCTCCAAATACCCCCACACAGTATTCAAATCTTTAAGAAGACTCACACTTGTCCAGGATTCTAATACTTTACTGGCCAGGAACGTATCAAATCAAAATATTTAGCAAAATTATGCCCCCAATTAATTAAATATTTCATTCTTCGCTATATCAGTAACTGGACAGTTGAGTCATAAAATTATCATCCACGTCACCATTATTCCGAAAAAAAGAGTGATTTGTTAAGTAGCCAGCTCGACATGTGTAGATTCCAAATACAAGCTGAAGACTTGTCCAGGTTCTTAGTAATCAAAATATTTAGCAAAATTACATCCCCAATTAATTAAATCTTACATTCTTCCCCACATCACATCCATAACTTACCCGAGTCCAATACTGATGAACAGTTAAGTCATAAAATTATCATCCACGTCACCATTACGAAAAAAAGAGTGCCTTGTTAAGTAGGCAGCTGGACATTCATGCCTACAAACTCGCCCTTATTATCACTTTCTTTTATGCAGTAGTTCATACATCTCTTCAATTCTGACTGAACATGCAAGGGGAAGAAGAAGTGCTGATGAGCATTCCAGGCTGGCTGAAGGTGATAAATAACATGCCCAATTTTCCAAATCCGCAACAACTTCTTCTCTTCTGAAGGAGATGAAATATGATCTTTTACATAAATTATGAGCAGTGATCTGCGTGTCGTGTCTTGTCCAGTTTACGAAACAAAATCGTATCCACCTGAGAAAGAGAAATGTGTAATAAGTGAAGACGAGTAGGTAACACCGCTCAGAGGCAGAAATACATCCATCCGGACGGATACTTCTCGTCGTACATAATAAATAAGTATCTCGGAGGACTCGTTGCTGCTTCATTTCATTGTTGTAAATGGTCCGAGTAGAATTTCTAATGGTTAATAATCCTGTTTCTTTCGTTCGTTCGAGGCGATTTCTTCTATTCTTCAGCAGGTTCGATACCAATAATTACATGAATTATCAGCTCGGCTCGGTCAGGTTAGGTCGAGTCTGGACTGGAGTTTTTTGTTTGTAGGAAAAAGATATGCGTGAGTAAGGATTTAAAAAAAGGAGCAAGAAGAAGCTCCAAAGTTTTTACAGCTCGTGGCATAAATTCTGACACAAATTCTGAAGGCAGAAGAAAATCAAATGAAATGGTTTGAAAAAGATGAGGCAAACTATTTTAGTGTCATGTTTTGTCGCCGAGCGCAGAATTTGCTAGAACTAAATATATAAATATAATTCAAGATGTCCACTGCAACGTCAAGGATTTATATTTGAATAAGTGTAAATACCAAAATTCAAATAAATTCATATAAGTTGATTTCTAAAAATTTCTGAAAACTTCGATACGACTTAAAAACTGGACTTTTGAGGAAAAAGATATGCATGAGTAAGGATTTAAAAAAGGGAGCACGAAGAAGCTCCAAAGTTTTTACAGCTCGTGGCACAAATTCTGACCGATTTGGAGGATGAGGGAGCAAAAGAAGATGAAATGAAATGGTTTGAAATAAGGTTGGAAAAGATGAGACAAAAATGTTGTCGAGCTTTGTCGCCGAATGCAGAAGTTGCTGAAATTAAAAACATTTAAGTACAATTGAAGATCGTTATATTTTTCTCCGATTAGTAAATTTGAACAATTGAAGATATGAAATTTCATGTGAATCCTGGAATTCATTTACATATATTTCCAAAATTTGTAAAAATTTCGATATGACTTATAAACTGGACTTTTGGTAGGAAAGGAAAAGAATGAAATGAATTGAAAGAAGATGAGGAGGCAAAATATTTTATTTATTTTTGTCACGTTTTGTCTCCGAGTGCAGAATTGAATGGTACTAAATATATAAAAACGATTGAAGATATCTTCATTCCACCTTCTTGCAGGAATTAATATTTGAATAATTGAAATACTAAATTTCATCCTGCAATTGATTTATATTTCGAAAAAAAATCAATACAAATTAAAAATAACAAATCTGGTTTGAAGCTTTGTACAAATATGTACCAGCACAAAAGTAAAAGTTGAACAATTGTGAGCACAACTTTTTTAGTTGAGTGACGTGGTTTTAAAAGTACCCTTTTCTCCAAAAATAAGGGGTACTCACTTCACTGTGTAGGAAACCTAGCTCCCCAGGAGAATATTTAAAAACGTTTTTTTTAAATTAAAAATATTTATGATCGGACATTTCTACAGTTTTCGGGGATTATTTAATTTTATATTGGAACTTGAAAAAAAAATTATATAATTTCAGAAAAATTCAGTTTTAAATCAATTTCCTGAATTTTTCTCCTCAGGTAAACCGTCCCCTCACGATGAAGAAGGAGGGGATCCAAACTCGAAATCGGAAGCTGAGTTCGAAGGGTAAAAAGAAGAAGGGGTCGCTCGGGCTGCCAGATAATCTCAACAAGACGGCCTTCTCCTCCTTCAACCCGGCCGCGACGTCCATGTCCCCCTACATGTGAGTGACCACACCCTCCATGATAAGCTTAGCACTTATCTTAACGACAAGTATTTGATGCATTAATTAATTTTCAGGTACCACAATGGAGGGATGCATCATCACCATCACCACCACCACGGGGGCGGCATGGGCGGAGGCTTCGTCCCCTCTGGACCTCCAATGTCAATGTCCAGCGTGGGGATGGGGATGAGCAGTTTGGGTCTCTCAGGTCCTGGTTCCTTAGGTCTTGGCTCGGCTGGTTCTCTAGGCCTGCCAACACAACACATGACTGTAAGCAAGCCGAATTTCTCACTTTTTCGTTAACGTAAAGCTTGATAACTCATCGCCAAAATCATCAAAAATCTGCACATTTTTAATAGTTTCTTCGCTCTGGAAATTTGTGTTAAAATTCTGGATAACAAATTTGTTGAGCACGTCGTTGCAAATATTTTTAAAATATGCACTTTAGTTTTTGACATTTTTTGAAGGAGATCTCGAGTTTAAGAAGCCTTAATTCAGAAAAATTTGAATTCCGAAAACTGGCTTAACAAACTCACAGCATTCTATTAATCAACTTACTGACTGCAAATTTATCCTCCAGCATTTTTAAATAAAATCCCAGAGCGGACAAATAATTACAAATATGCCAATTTTAACTATGATTCATAGAGTCGTACGTTAAATCTGCAGACCGGAACAAATTGCGAAAATACATAGTTGCAAATTCCTCCGTCCTCCCTTCCAGAACGAATGCATGCATGCATATTTATCTAGACTGATAAAAATTCTTACACAATTCTTCCCCATTTTAATTGCAGGCCGGCTGGAGAACAGAATACACTTGAGAATAATATTCTTCAAATAGCAAAAAATTACTGCTTCAATTACATATTCCCCATCATCAACTTTACGAAAAAAAATACTTATGCTATACAAAAAATTACATAATCGCGCCAACCCAATTTACAAAATTTATAATCATCATCAATTAATTATTGGAAGAAATTGATCCCCATAATATCTATTTTCCATTCAACTTTAATAAAAATTTACAAAAATTCAGCCAAATGGAATCAAAGTCCCGCAGAAAATTACACTTTTTCACCGTGTACAAAAACCACCCAATTAAATCCCGGATGCTGCTGGACTTACTTAAAGTTGGACTGGAACTGAAGATAAGTGCTTATCTTATCTAAATGGCCGATCTCTCCTCCATCTCTCTCTCTTTCTTTCTCAAGGAATATATAATAATAATTCTTCCCCGTTAATTAATTAATTAATTAATTAATCCACATTCCTCACAATTTTTATGTTTTTCTCCCAAGTGTGAACACATCCTTCTCTCCTTGATGAAATGTTTTATTGAAGTTACCAAACTCGGCATTTATTCTTTCACGGATTGATTCAAAGTATTTATTACGTGATTCATTTTATTTTTTAAGGTACTTAGATATTTAATTGACGGATTATTTTCAATCTTCACCCATTTAATGTTTGTATTTACAATGTTTACACGTCAGTTTTTTTTTACAAAAAAGTATTTTTTGAGGTACTTAATTGACGGATTTTCAATCATCTTCGTACAATGTTTGTTTACACGTCTTTTTTTAAAAAGCAAAGTATGTTCTTCAAATTTCATTCATTCATTCATTTCATTCTCACCTCTCATTCACAGTTAGATATTATTCGATTCGATGAAAAGCCTGGCCTGGCTCGGCTTCCGTGTCAGTCTAGACAGAAAAATGGTTCATTTATACTTGCTACGTACATAATTAATTAGCTACTTAACTTAAAATCGGACTTTATTTTCATAAAAACAAAACAACAATGTTAATTAATTAATCTTCTTGGGACAATCTCTCTGGGGCAAATTAGGTAGCAATTTTCTCTATTTATTCAATTAAGTACTTATCTAATAAGCCTACATTAGAAGCTCATCCATTAATTAATTAATTAATTACCTATTTAACTGTGGAGAGAGCCAGCAGTAAGATAAAAGACGTAAATATTTGCATTTATTATACAAAGTCCAAGTATTATTAGTCTTTACTTTGCATTCTTGCGTGATATCCAGTCAATAATTACAAAATTACGAAAATCGTCACAATTTCATTATCAATCAATTCCGAGTATTTTAAAATTTATGTGCATTTTCTTTTTATTACTGCGAACAAAATATCACATGACTATTTACTTTTCACCCTCTTTAAGAATGAGCATTTACTTATGTACTTACTGAATCAGCAATTAATTACCTCATTTATTTCAATTTTGTCCCCTTCTTCTGCTTGAATATCTTCATAATTTATTTACATATTTCTCCTCGCCAATCACGAAACTTGCAGAAGTAATTGAATACAAAATACCAACCAAACCAAAACAACCAAACATTTATACGTAAACCGGATATATATTTAAAGTATATAAGTAAGCAATATTTGTGTATGTGTATCATCGTAATATTTAAATTACCTCATTATCATTATTATCCTATTATTTTCCTGGTAATAATATCTAATAAGTCTAGGTATTTAGTCGTATTAATTAAATACTTAGTTATTATTCTGCGACATATAATTATACAAAAGTTAATTAATGTCCCCATCAACCAAATGATATTCAATTAAGTACGTATTTATTTATCTCCTGAACTCCTCCTCGGAATGTCAATAATAGTCGGATTTTCCGGAATAATATATAATTGTTCAATTTGTATCGTATCGATCCAAAATTTGAATAATTAATTAAGGCGTAATGTAAAATACTTTTAAGGCGTGTGTGAATACTGTAAAGTAAAGAATTAAGACTAAATTTTAGCTATGTATTTGCAAGAAAAAATGCAAAAAACCATGATAAATATTTAATAAGAAACCAAACCAGAAACCAAAAACTATTGTCGATTCCATAAAATACATAATTGTTATTTAGTTAAGTACATAAATAAATAGTCTCGATTGCCGACAAAAGTGATGAAATAAGAATAATAATAAAAACTTGAAAGGAATATTCCATATTCTAAATTTTCGTCGTATTTTTTTCTAACTGCATATTTCTAAACGGTACAAGATTCCCATCGTAAATCTGAATAATGAAAACTTGTCATAATTGTGATGCATCGATGAGAGGACGAGTAAAAAAAATGTAACGGATGACGGAGCTTTATTATTAGTTTTATACCATCTCACTTACATATTCGCCTCATTCTCACGCATATTAATTCATAAAATGTACAGTACACGTGGTTCATATCATATGCAAATAATTGTCATTTAAACGGTGAGACAAGTGACATTTTATTGTTCACTTTTATTTGGTAAAATTTCCCAACATAAGTTTTAATCGGCATTTGTTACAAGATGATTAAACTGCTTGTGTGGTACAAAATGAGACGCATATGCTAAAATTGTTGTAGAATTTTGCACTAGTTTTGCATACAAGATATACACACATTTCTATTTTGCAATCCAATTCCTCTTGAAGGAAGAACAATTACGGCAGGAAATTGAAAAAAAACAGAAGAGTTCTCCTCTCTTTTACCATGAGGTCAAATTATAGCATTCATAAATGTGCACGTGGCATACAAATAATTGTCATTTAAACGTTGAAACACGTGACATTTTAATTGTTGACTTTTACCAATATTTCCCAACATAATTTTTAATCGATGTTTGTTACTACGACCCTTACAAGATGATTATTAAACTGCTTGTGTGGCATCGCAAAATTATTGCAGAATTTTGCACTAGTTTTACAAAATATTTTGCTATTCATATTCCTACATATTTTGCAATCAAATTCCTCTTCTAGCTTCTAAGGGAAGAAGAATTACGGCAGGAAATTGAAAAAACTACGAAGAATTCTCTTCTCTCTAACCATGAACGAATTATAACGAGCTAATTAATTGTTGACTTATGCATCCATCCCCAGCAGGAGAAGGAGAAGAAGAATGACAAAAAAGTTAAGACGGAAGGAAACACCTTGTTTACTGAACTTGTTAAACTCGCCTCATTGTTATTGTTGCACTTGGGAAAGAATAAAATGGCATGTCAAATGAACGAATGATGAACTATTTCAAAGAGCGCAAATATTTCACGAGAAATTATTTATGACGCAAAACGGTAGGCATATGAGTATAAATACCAGTTTATTACACTCCAACAAAGCCATGTGACACGGAATAAATCCAAGTGTGACATTTTTATGCGATTTTATACTCCAATTATAAATGTTGGAAGTGCAATTAAAATAAAACTTTGTTGTACTTATACATACGTACAAGTCAGGAAGAAGTTTTTAATAATTAATCCGCTCAATTGACGTAGCAAAGATAAATTTCTGACATGGAGATATTTATTTTTTATTTTTCACTGGTACAAAAATGCGGTCTCGACTAATAATTCATCAATTTTAGCAAGGTTTTCTATTTGTTCGCATGAATGTACATATTGTTTATTGCATCTGGCCGTTAATATGTACCTGCCCTATTAACGCACCCCCATAATACCACCATTGGCCGCGGAAGGTGTGGGGACATGTGGGGACATTAACATTGGAGGATAGGGGAGGGAGGGAGGGACTGATATAACATGGGGAGATGATGGGGACATCGAATAACCGTGGGGACATTGTCCCTCTGTCCTTCCGCGGCCACTGACCACTACCACCCATTCCAAACACTTTTATTTTAATGGGTAAAGTTTACATCCAAATAAAGTGCATTTTTAATAAGCTGTCTTCTTCTTCTTCTTCTTATGTATTCCTCCTTGAAAACAAAACAAGCGACTCCACTTAACTAACGAGGATCCAATTTCCGCCGATTTTTCAACTTTCAACCACTTTTTGCCCATTTCCTGTCTCGCTTACATTGCATTACGTTACATTACATACGTTTCTGAGCTACGGAAAACAGCTTGTTACCACCAAGTAAGCACAAACGTAGTAAAGTTGCCTCACTCAAGAATTACTTATTACACTTTTTAAAACCTTTAAACGTCTCGGAATGAGCGAAATAAATAGGAATGTTTTTTTTGCCTGTCCTGCTTTGGTTGGTGGGTGCCCAAGGTTTTGCTTGCTTTACTTAATTTTTCTTTTGTTTATTGTGATGAATGCAATCCATTTTTTGCTCGAGTTTACTAAGTCGTTAGGTTGAAAGAAGATGAAACGGTTAAGTTAGATGCATGTTAAATGGAGGGATGGATCGTACCGGTTGGTTTACTTACTTGTAAATTCACTCGGAGTTATCATCCTCACACACAAAACACGATACATTTTCTTGTGATGATGCTTAAATGTTTTGCAATAGTGGATTATTACGACGAGGGAGATGACATGATGATACGTTTTGCGCATGTAAAATATCTGTGATTAAGAGGATCGATTGATTTTTGAGATGAGGGGATAGCTAGCAGAACACTCTTGTTTTTCATGAGGAAAGGGCTGTACATAAATGAAGCATGTAAATTTTGACCCTGTGATGTGACTTATATGCCCCATGTTATAATTAATTATTAATTAACATGGGAAGGATAGGGTGTTCCCTTGACCCCTTCCTCCCCTCAAATCAATCACATTCTTTTTGCACCGTCCATAAAATTAAATACGATGTGATCTTAACCAAATGAGTCAAGATTTATGTACTCATCTCACTTTTCCCATGAGTATTCTATCCGACACACGGATTTGTCCTGTATCACCCTGCCCTTAGAAGAAGTAGAAAATGTACATTTTTTCCTTCCCTCCCTAAGTCGCCTTACATCATGAACCACTTGCATAACGTATGGATGTATCAGACTGGCAGTAATTTCATAAGCTTCTTCTCCTTTAGCTGGCTCAAAGGGCAGCAAGAAAGCAGTGCAGTGTCCGCCGGGCGACGGGAGGGGATTAGCGGTCGTCCAACCGAGAGGGCATGAACCACTACCACCGAGAAGAAGAAGAGTTCCCTCTTATTTATTCACGGATTTACTCTCGGAAAATGGAATTACAATGCTTTTCGAACCAGAAAACGAAATGGTTCTTATCTTCGCAGGGCATACAGTGTCAGCCAGCCAGCAACATACACAAATAATGCAGCATTTTCGAAAAAAGTCAAGTTTTTCTACGAGAAAATATTATCAAGCCTACTTGTAGGAAAGTGTAAGAGGTTTTCTCAAATTTTGGATAGGAATCCTTGCGCAATACGTATTTATCACGGGGGCGAAAAAAAATTCAATCTTGAGAGTGGAGGACACTTTACTTTCAAATCTGGTAGAATTGATTACATGCAACACGCTCAACTTGGTTTTAGTTCTTGGGGAAGGAACGGTCAGTTGCACACGTCACTTTCTCCCAGGGACAGAGATCAATTTTCTCCAGTGGTTGGTTTAGCTCGAGTCAATGGGGTGAACGAGGAGAATGGGCGAAAGGGTGAAAGTTGGAGAGGATGCAGCATTTTGGGATAAATGAATGGTGGAGGAATTCAATTACACGGTGAAAAAAATCTGGGAATTTTGGTATGGATGGAAAACTGAATTGTCGCTGAAAAATTTATATTTTTAGCAATTTATGAAACTTATATAAGATTTTAGGTATATCACAATACCTATTTTTTCCTGAAATCAGAAATAAACTGTACATCGGGAGTGAAAAAATGCATTGGAAATTTTGATGAACTTTATGGAAAACTTGAATGTCTCTCAAAAATCTTATCCTTTAGAAACTTATGCAAATTTTACGCATCAAAATATCTAGAAATTTTACATTTTTCAATTTTCAAATCGGAAATAAACTGTCAGCGTGTATGCAACATCTTGCAATCGTAATAGAAATCATGACGCTTTTCTCCACTAAATGAACGCCAAACGCCCCACAAAGAACAATACCCAAAATTTCGTTTCGAGTGCACTTTTCCACGCAGCCACGTAGTGACAGTCCACCCACACCCCTCCCTTTATCTCGTAAGTGGTAAGTTTATTGATCTAAACACAAATATTACTTATGTCCTTAGCCACCTTATAATTAAGCAATGCAGCATTTTTCTCCTCCAAATTCTCCTACCTACAAGATTTCGAGATCTCTCTTTTCATCCCTTCTTCTATAATTCAATACGTGTCAACCTGACACGCTGCACACGCCTCCTCCTTTAATTCTCAAGGAATCTCAGGCATGTCAAACAACCCCATTTTTCTCCTCCCACATCGGAAAAACACTTTAAAGTAGCTCAATCTGACGCACTTTGGTTAAACAAAAGCCGTTCGTTGGTAGTTGTTCTTTTTGGAGGAGGATTGGAGCATTTTGAGACCAACAATGAAGCCGGATTGACAATGGAGTGGATCCATAAAAGAAAAATGATTGACTTTCGTTCGTCCGTCCACAGGAATTTGTTTGCCTTTTTCATGACATGAAACTATTTGGGAAATGTTTGATTCAAACGAGAAGGAAGAAGAAAGAAGGTGAGGAATTTCGAATCAAAAAGTCAAAGTCTCATCTGTGGTGAGTTGAGTCCTTATCTTTCAATTGATCTCGTAATGGGGTGGAAAAAATAAATCAGAATAAAAGCAAAGGGTTGGTTGTTTGCTCTAGATGGGAAAAATGGGCTAATTGCGAGTTCAAGTTTTGCTAGGAATTTGGAACAAGTTTGGAAATTTTGGGTGATAATTTAAATTTTGAATCAAATGGTCGGTCACTCGATTAAAAGAAACATTTGCAAATTACGTCATATTTTACGACCAAGTCACAAATTGCAAAAAAAACAAGTTTTACTAGAAATCTGTAACAATTTGTGTCTCATTTCTGGGAACTTTTACCTAATTTTTGCCTAGATTTTAAAATCAAATCGTCTCTATTACAGATTGCTTCATACTTTGAGTTGCAAATTCATAGACATTTCTTAATTGCAAAGAAGACAAGTTTTGCCATAAAAATTTGCAACAATTTGTCTCATTCTGGCAACTTTTATCCAATTTTTGGCTAATTTTTAAACTCAAATCGTCCATCTTATAAAAAACGTTACACAAATTACTTCACATTTTAATAC